GTTAGAGCCTGAGTCGCCCATAGGGAAATAGTGCCGCTGGAAGGATTAGGCCACTTGAAAAAGCCACTTCATCGGGACTCTAACCCGCGACATTCCGGCTTGTAGCATAGCGTCTCAACCAACTATGCTACCGAATGCCCCCGGTCATAATAATACAATTAGTAACATTAATGTTCCCCATGGAAATAAATTAATAAAAAGGAGACACGAGCACGGTTCAATCAATTATTCTGCAAACCTAGGTCAACTGTCAAGGTTATTTAGCGTCGCATGAAACACTATGCAGTGATTATTATTAATCGTTAACCGAAGTTGTAGTGTAGTGTCTATTGAAACAGTCATGAATTATATGAGACACTGCACTGGCATTTTTTTTTTTGCCAAAAACGTTTCCACTAAAAGAAAATCAATTCTTTTTAGTCAAGAGCCCGGATTCAAACCGGTTAACTTCTAAATGCGAGTCCCACATATTATCACTGTCACTCAGACTGGTAAGAACAGATTACCTATTGATGGTCGGGGAGTTATCTTGAACTATCCCTCTTCTTCTTAGTAGACAAAAACTACACATTCATCTCTAAAGTGACACTCCCTGGAGTTCCTTTCAAAGTTAATTACGCCACAGTTTTGCCCTAGGCCATCCATGTCAGCGTCTTCTCTCTTGCTCACCTTACTTGTTAAGCCTCGGTATTTATCACAGAAGACCAAGAGAAAATCTTTTTTCTTCCGGCAAATCCACACATATTTACAGCGCATCATCCAATCATCTATCACTGTCATGTAACTAAAGGTAATTCTTCCTTCAGTTACGTAGAAAAGTTTGTAACGGTTCACTTGACACATGGAACAGACATTAATTCCAGTACCTTTCGTACTATTCGTCACTAGAAATGAAGATTTTTCTTTTTCAGAGAATACTGTTGGGATATTAGGAAGCCGGATTTTTATTAAGAGGCACAAGAATATACCTAAGTTTCCATTACTTATACTTTTTTCCTTTGGCACTACAGCCCCAGTGGGCCTAGGCCTACCTCCATGAACTTCTCCGTACACTTCGGTTTTTCTAGGTCTTACGGTGGGACTCCTTGGGCGGGTGATCAGCTCGTCGCAAGGCCTCTACCTGTACACAAACACAGAAAAACGCGCACACACAAACTAAACATCCATGCCCTGAGTGGGATTCGAAACCACGATCCCGGTTTCCAAGCAAGCCTTAGACTGCTCGGCTACCGTGACCGGCTAATTATACTTTACTTAACGAAATTATATTTATTGCATAGGTTGACTTGTTTCGAAATTTTGGGTACGCGGTAGCGTAGTTGGTTGAGGCACTATGCTACAATCCGGAAGGTCGCGGGTTCAAGTCCCGATGAGGTCATTGGATTTTTTTCAATCGACCCAATCCTTCCAGCAGCACTATGACCCTGCTGTCGACTCATCCTTTAACGGAAATGAATACCAGGAATTAATTAAATAATTTCCTGGTGAGTAAAACGCGGCCGACGCGTAAGGCTGACAAACTTACCGCCATCTTTGAGCCGATTTTCTAGATAATGTGGGACCCTCAACATCTCACAACCCTATGGGCCTTCACGGTCTATTACAGGGATAACTTTACTTACTTTTTTATGGGAAGAATTTTGGAACCTAAACTATAGGAGAATAGTGGAAGAAATTGGTTTGTTTATCACTTTGAAGCGCGAGGCTTGTGTGAATAACGTTTATTATTTACATTTATACTGCAAGAAAGTCCACGGCATCCTGATGTCAAGTAACCAGTCACTACTATATTGCCACGTGTAGGGTGGTAAGCATGACGGAATTATCGTGTTCTGAATCGGTTGATTGGATTTATTGGCACTCCTGTTACAACCTTTCTTGATTACAGGCAATACAGCGCTATCGCTGAGTTACAAAATGTACAGTTCACCGTTGCACACGCACTAGGATTCTCTCTTTCCCTTAGTCGTCTCCTAGCAACGGATCTCAATACAGAAGCTGTCACTTCAAATCACTATGAAGTCTTCTTGTCTTCAGTCACTCTCTACTCCTCTGTCCTAATCTGTACTTAAACTTTAATATGCACGCTCATTTCTCGTTCTTGTTCTCTCAACTGCTGAACCGTCCTAGACGCTCCACTAACTTAAATCAAAGTCAAAGTCACATTGCGACTGACTGTCAGTCAGTAAGTCTTAGTGTCGAGCCCTATCTGGGGCTCATGACTAGATATTTATTAGTGTTTGATAATTACGGCCGTGTTATTGTCGGGTGACCTCTCTGACGAGAGGACGGGTCTGTCTTTTGTCAGAGTCATTGTCTGCAGTAGCAAGTCATTTGTCTTACTAACTTGCGCTTCAACAGTTCTTCGTTTTAAAGGCGCCGCACCGACAATACCGAAAACAATCACATTAAAACTAGTACTGTTGTAGTGTCACGTCATTGCACCTGCGCGGATGTCTGTTCGCAGCGCCGATACGTACAAGCGGGTTGCATAACTTTGTTCCATCGTTGCGTGCGCGTATCGCGTTTGTTTGCCGATACGTTACCTAGTATCGTTCGGCCATCCACGTTACAATATATATATATATAATCCTCAAGCTATTATATTTCTGTCATAACCAATAAGACGCTATGTTCATTCTCTGTTGTTACAGGCCGCTCTCATAATCAAGAAGACACTATGTTCTCTCGTATTTACAGTCCGCTCCAACAAACATAAAACACAGCGTGCACTTTCACATTCCTCCAGGTCTGATGGACGCGCTGGCCCGGAGCTTGCTGGTGTCGGACCGCCACGTGCTGACGGCTCGCGTGCTCGCCCTCAATGCTTCGTCCAGCACCCTGATCAACTCGGTGTCGTGGCAGCGCCAGTTCGTTGTGACGCCCACGCTTATGTCCGGAGGTCTGGACCACTCGCTTCTCTTCGAGCTGGGCGGTCCCCACCGCTTGCAAGAGGATGGACTGCGCACGGGATTTCGCCCCGACCCGAGGTACCCCTGGTACGAGAATGCCGACACCAGTCCGGGGCTGTGGTCTCCCAAATTCATGCCAAGTCCAACCAATATGTCTTTCCGGGGCTGGTGGACCTTCCCGTATTTCTCCTGCTCCGTCCGTCGCTGGCTGCTCTCTTACAGTGTGTCCATACCGCCCCCCACCAAACACGGGTAAGTATCCCGCTTGTAGCCAGTATATTTGCATTGTTATTCGCTACTTTCAAAGCAAGTCATCAGTTCGGAATGAAATCTGCGTCTAATGACACGTATACGAGTTTGCTAGCAGAATACTGCCAGTCAGATAGGCAGTAGCTATATTGTCACTCAGATTTAGTGGGTTTTTGGATTTTTCGGTTGTCGGTATTCTAGAGGATAGAAAACACGATGTTTCGGAAACTGGATCTGTTTCCGTCCTCAGGTGGAGGGGTGAGAGAACACCTACTCAGTTGTGTCCCTTAGAAGGAGCTAATCTCAATCCTCTAAGGGGTCCAACTGAGTATGTGTTCTCTCCCTTTCAGCTGAGGACGGAAAAAGATCCAGTTTCCGAAATGTTATGGTTTCTGTTCTCTGGAATACCGGAAAATAAAAAAAAAGTCCAAAAACCCAGTAATTTTGTGTTATACTCCATCTTCAGAACCCTTTAGAATCTACTTACATTGTCACACTTTCGTCGGCAGGGAGTCTCGTTTGAGGAACTTAGTAAGCCACGAGAAATTCAGGTGAGACTCGCAGTTGGAGAGGGTTTTTGGTGCGCATTCTATCCTCTGTGGCGAATGTTGCATGTGTTACAAACCTGAAGTAGCAAGTTTATGTCTGTAGTAAGAAACCGGCGATATACAATGCCGTGTGTTCGTATGTTACTGGAAACAAATAACAGGTACATGTGCACGCTATCGTAGAGGGTGTAAAGTTAAGTTGTTATAAAAATTAACATTGTAAAATTTATAACAGAAACTTTCTCAAATATGTTGACAGTGACAAGTAAGAAAATTCTAGAAACCGTATATTTGTTTAATCACGTGCGGCACATTCATTATTTTGAATGAATGCTTAAAATTTTGTGTATGGAAGATATTATGGATTTAAGCTATTTCCAACAAAACAAGAGCCACAAAATTGGATCTTACGTGTATTTAATTCACAGATGAAGTTTACCAGGAGATCATATATGCAGTAAAAAACCTAACTTTTTCAGGAAGACGTGTGTTTAGAATTAAAATCGATGCTTGTTCACCTAATTTTTATTTTCAGATATGTTTAAAACTTCAAATTGAACCAACCTGTCTTTGAGATTTATTTTACGGTTAACCCTCATGGAAGATTAAAATAATCATGCCAAAATTTATTAATAAGGAGTAACACTGGAGCTCCTTCAGATATAATGCCTCTATTTTCAAGAAGGCCTAAAATAACACTCCATAACACTAGTAGTAGTAGTAGTAGTAGTATGTGTAAGGGGTGGGCCTTAAAATCCGGCCCTCGCACTGTGACCTTCAATGATCTGTTGTACTTCCGTTTGGATTAACCTTCTATTAATCCTACACTTCGAATGAAATATAGGACTTTATTTATGGGTGCATCATAAAAGTCACTTGGTTCCATGAAAAACTGACCCAGGTGGCGAAATCTTAAGTAAGCTATGGCCTCAAATCACATAGGGTGTGTGTGGCTGTTTCGTCTTCTTGTAGGCACCTTTCACATGTTGGGTCAGTCCCAGTTTGAAAATGTGTCCTATTAGGCGATCTCCATGACACTAACTTTGAAAGAATAAAAGTAAAAAGTAAAGCTATCCCTGTAAGAGGCCATGAAGGCCCATAGGATTGTGAGACGTTGAGGGTCCCACATTATCTAGACAGTCGGCTCAAAGATGGCGGTAAGGTTGTCAGCCTTAAGCGCCGGCCGCGCTCTACTCCCCAGGAAAATTATTTAATTAATTCCTGTTAGAGGCTGAGTTGACCATAGGGCAATAGTGCGGCTGGAAGGATTAGGTCAACGGAAAAAAATCCAATGACCTCATCGGGACTTGAAACCACGACCTTCCGGCTTGTAGCATAGTGCCTCAACCAACTACGCTACCGCGTGCCCCAATTTTGAAAGAATAATAAACTATAACACTTAAAATTTCGGTCTGAGGTATTGTATAACAAAGTGCTTTTTCCTTATTAATCTGACCCTCATATGTTGTTGACTGCCCGAGATATGTCGTTAAGAGTGTGACATTTCATGCGAAACGGTCTGTAGTTCTCAGTATCTATCAATTTCAGATGTTTCCTTATCATCCTTCATGTCCCCACATTCATCCCTTACGTAGTCAGACTGCAGATACACGAGTACAATTCTTGTCTTATCCAACCGTATCGTCAGATTTTCTTTGGATGATAGTTAGCAAAAGAAATGTTTCAAGTGAAGAAATAAGAAAGGCTTTCTATGACAGAACTGTTTCATAAAACAATTTTTGTTTCACATTCATTGTTTTTTGCAGAAAGTAATAGTCTGGATTGAAATATCTATCTTATGAAATATTGAGATCTCAAAATAATTTTTGTATCGTCCTCATTTACTATTATCAGCTTCGTTGCTTTTATCCGCTTCTCCGTTCGTTCAGTGGACCTACAGCTGTGTAGAGAGGAGTCCGACATCTGCAAAGAGACCATCTTGTGGAATGGTCTGTTTTTTAAGTGAAATAATTTAGCTACATACTGACGAATTTTCTTACATCTAAAGCTGAAAACCCAATATATTTAAAAAATCCGTCTTCCGGTATGAGGCCCCGTGTATATACTGTGTAAAACTACGTTTCGGAGGAACGTATCTCCTCCATCTTCACGGTATAAAACTCCGCGAACGAGCAACCAGCGTTTGCAAGTGGCTGCAGTCTGCAGACTGGCGCTCTGTACTCAGAGATGTCGGTTATCTTTTAATATTGACTTCAAATTCTGCTACAGATGGAAGTCATAATGATCGTATTGATATCTTAATCTCAAAGAAGTACACACATCTTGGTCAAGATTACTTGACCTTTCATTAGATCAGGGCCCCTACCGCATTCGGAACATCCCAGATTAGAATTTCGGTCAGGACACGAGAACTCTATCCAGCTACATGTTGGACCATACTTTTTATTTTACTTTTAACTTAACCTGTTATTTACAATCAATGAGGAATTTACTTATATAAAATTTTCCGTTGATAAAGTGCTATTAAGTAATCAATGAAGCAAATATCTTCCACGTGAGTGCTAGGGGCTTTATTTCTCAACTAATTCAACCTATACTTTAATGTCTCAAAACTTATCTGTATGCAAGCAATGAAAGGAATTTTTATTTTTTAGGGTGAAAGGTTTCTTGAGTCTGGACATCGATGTGTCCGGTCTGGAAGTGAACCAATGTGACTTAAGTTCCGGTCCGAAACTCTCCAATCAGATTGAAGTGCTCAGAGGCACCCACAAATGTCACAATGATACCACACAGGTAGAAGAGAACTTACCTTCATGTTATTTCATCATAGACTGGTTTACCTTGTAAGGTCACTCGGGACTCAATTGATACATTAATTGACTATGTGATAATACATTTAATTTAATAACAGAACTTAGTATAAGCATACGTACATTTCAGGTGCCGCATTATCTCGTATTCATACAAATATAGGGCCCCAAAATGTATGCGTGTGAGTGAGCGTGTGTGTATATTTATACACTAAATCCTCGATTCAACGGATTTTGAATTTAACCGACGAAATGCTTTAATTGTTCTCCGGTTGATATATCGGTATTAGCCCGTAATAGTCTGGTTGATATATCGTGTATGTGTAAGTATGAAAAGTAATTAAGATTAGGAATTGAATAACTTCAACAAAAAATTAAGGTGATTTTGTGATTGTGACGTAAGAGCACAGTTCTCTATAACAAATATTAAGATAACACTTCTGCTAACATTTCAGTTAATATTGCATTTCATAATTAATTTTACTTTACATGTATAATGACTTCAGGTAGGCCTAAACACTGAAATATTTTAAAATGTTGCAGAAAAGGTGAATTCCATTAAGGCAGCTCTGAAGACTGTCAGGGCCACTGGCTGCATGAAGCAGACATATTGAACTGGAAAGGCTACTCTCAATTGTTTTATCGACAAAGTTGAAAGCTCAGTAACTACGGTGACTTTGGATAGGGACTACCGTTGCATGTACCATCTTTATTCCGAACTTTGAAAAACAGAATGTAGTATCTTGGAACATGCATTTTATTTTAAAACTTTCATACGTATTGTCTAAATTATTTGAAATTTCGTATTTAAGTGAGAGTTATGACTGATAAATGTGATTTTTATGTTATAAGTTCACGCAAATCATTATGTAATGCACATGGTCTGACAATAAAGTTCGCAAACTCATCGCGGTAAAGATTCTACATAACTCATTGTCGAATATCACTATGGTTGCCTTCAAGATGTTCCCTATGGGAAGCTATACATCGATGCCAGCGCCTAGTGCACCCTTCAAAACAATTTCGGAACTGGTTTTGTGAAATATCCTTCAGAGCTGCCGTCATATTATTCCTGATGTCATCAATGTCATCAAAATGCCTTAATTTGAATATTGCCTTTATCTTCGGGAACAGATAAAGTCATTGGGGATTAGATCCGGTGAATAGGGAGGGTGTTCCAGCACAGTTATTTGTTTATTAACTTAAAACTCTCTCACAGGGACAGTTTCTCTACTTCAAAATCCGACACTCTCGCGACGACACACCAAAACACACTCAGATAATAATAGTCGCCACTCAGAAAGAGACTACCATAGATCAACAATAACACAGCTGTGAAACTCTGACATGCCTACGTCATCAAACCATACTGAGGTTCCTGTCCACTGCTGCCACGGCAAGCACACGATGTCGAGTTCGCGAACTTTATTGTCAGACTAAAAATAATAATTATTAATTATAATCTTAGTAGTATTTTGATGTGCAATTCTTTACATACATTTTTGTTTAATTTGGCCAATGGAATAATTTTGAATAGGAATAGACAGAAATGTCCTGTTTAACATTTTCTTCATTGAAAATTTTAATGACTATCACAAATTCTTCAGAACACTTTGCCGAACTCTAAGTCACCCCTAGTCTGCTAAATTTCCCCTTACCATTTTATACATCTTGTAGGAATGTCAATGTAATACGTATGATGAAAGACGCCAAGGATTCAATCATCATGGCGTATTGAACGACATCTTGGAAAATTATAGCCGCAATACATTTATCACAAATATTGTGGTATTTTTCGTGGTATATTTTTGTTGAAAATATTTTATATAAAATAATGGACGAAATGCAAGAAAATAATTACATGCCTTAATTCAACGTAGTATTAATTTAATACATTATTTATTTATTATTGAAAAATTATTTTATTGAAATGGTTGATAATTTATCATAAATTAATTAAAGAAACTCTTAACCTGCTGTCAAGTTATCTGATGAATCTGCCTTGAATTTATTTCTTAATTAGAAGTTCGTATTATCTGTTATTATTTAATTTGTCCTATATTTTATATAATGAAGTTGGCGAAAATAGATTTATACCTCCGTCAGTACCACAAGAACACGAAGGCCCTCACTAGAACCTAATGCTGTACTCTTGTTATTGCAGTGCGTATTCCGACCTGGGCTTGGCTGGATGCGCGGCGGTTACCAGTGCGTCTGCCGCCACGGCTTCTACTCTTTACGTCAGAAGGGCGTCTTTAACGGCAGTCTTGTTGAAGGTAAGACTATTCTACCTAATTTCAATGAGTAGTAAATTCCACGGTTGCTTAAGAAGTTAAACTTGTTCTTGTGCTTAATTAATTAAGACGTACGGAGAAGTGGAGCTGTAGTTCCACCATTCTCCACCTCAACACTAGATGAATGTGAGTGGTCAGTTCCTCTCCCCGACCGCTTTATCCCCTGGAATACGACGTTCGATACCTATTGAGTAGGCGAATGGGCGGGCCCTAGGGCCTGTCAGAAATATGTGAAAAAGAATGAAATTTCTTATCCCTGCCAGGAATCGAACTGCGGCCGTCCAACCCGTAGCCTGTCGCTTTACCGACTTAGCTATTCCGGCTCCTTCTATGATCATACTTGAAAAGCAATAGAACACTTACATGATTGTGGCCATACATACTCCCTTAAAAAGGGCTAATATGGCTGGAGGTTTCGCCATTTACAGACTGTATCAGGCATCCATAAAACACACTACACTGTTGCAGCGGCGTGGTTGGAGCACGAGCAGAACGTCAGCTCGCTGTATCACCAGATGTTCCGATGTCTCAAGTGTGCCCCTGGTTGCGAGACCTGTCACAACAATGCGCCTTGTTTGGCCACTTACAACTGGCCCTTCAGGTGAGCCCGCAGGACAGCAGATGAGTGGATAATGATTACAATACAATCAATATTATCTGATCAATAATGTTTTCATTGTTACCATTTCTGAGTATACCACTCCCACTTCCCTTCACTGTCCACCCGATTAAACGCTCATGATCCTGTTATATTTCACATTACCTTACGCAACTTCTGTGGATGCTACAGAGTTGTAACTCAACATATGGAGCAGAGTTCTTCTTGAGTATCTGCCCACATGTTCACTAGAACCCTCAATTACATCCAGTTCCCATCTGCTTGAAATCAATTCACACATTCATGCCCTATTTCTTTCTTAATATTTTAATGTTACATTCATATGTAGAGTACCTAGGCACCCAAGTCTTATCTTGCATTAAAATGACTTGCATGAAATAGTGCATGTATTTCTCATCGCCCCAGTCATGTCACCCTCCCTGATTAGGCCACACCACTAGCATCTGTTGCAGAGTACAAATTATTGAGCCCCTCCTTATGCAGTTGTGTCCATCCCACTCATTGCTCCTCCCCCTTAGGTCCACATATCCACTTGATATCGTGTTCTGGAACATCCTTAATATTCTTACCTTAGTGTGAGGGTGTAAATATACCGATATAAAATATACACCATTTCCCTATTCATCATTCACAATCCTGTTTTAGTATTTTCTACTTTACGTAACTCCTATATCTGTTACAAGGGTGTAAATGCCTGAAAAATAAGAAGGATAAATTATACAACGCAAAATAATTAGGTTGCGGACACTTCGGACCACAGCCTTTACAATTCAATTTCACGTATCCTCTTACCCTTCGACGCTATAAGTCAGACATAACGACGGGGTTGATAAATAAACCGTAAATCAGTACAGTATGATCACTTGCCGTGAGAGACTTTCTGAATTGTGGACCCATTTGTGATCTGCTTGAGTGCCGCTTACTTCACTGGGTAATCAAAGTGCAAAAAACATTGTGGAAGTCATCGTGAGGTACCGAGATTATTATCATGCTTCCAGCATGTCGAACTGATGCGACTGGCTCGAAGCGTTGCCCTTGCCGGACCCTGTAGGTCTCCAGTAGCACAAATAACATATAAGAAAGGAGGGCCTGCCATTATGCAAACAAATGTTTTATTCATTATTTCACATCATATTTCAGGCCAGATAAAACACGATTATCAGGCGATTCTTGAGGAAATACAGAAATTCTGATGCACTATATGAAATTTGAACGTAAAGAATTATACACTAGCACTGTAATCTACATGTAGTTCATCACCATTTGTGTATTTCCTCAAGAATCATATTATGATGACCTATCTGGTCTGGTCACCTATCGCAAAACTTATTGCGAATTTATAAATAAATAAAATAATTGTGTGATGGCAAATCATCCATTTTTATTTGTAAGCACCACAAACAGGATTCAACCCTATATGAACCTGAAATAACAGCGTCCTTAACGGTCTGGGTGATGGTTATATTATGTTGTTTCAATTATTTCACTTACAAACTGGGTGATGAAAACAACTGACTACCGGTTAGTGTTACTGAGATACCGGTATTCCCTCTGCGCGAGGCCTATAAGAGAAAGTTTGAAACGCCGGTACTTCGCGGCAACTTCTCCTGCATATCTGTAGTGCGGGACAATCTAAACGACTCATGAAACAGATATCAAAATTCACCACGAGCACTTTGTTTTCTGTCCATCTAGGTAAATTTGAGTTTAGTAGAGAGTACTGTCTTCTATAATACAAAGTTTCGTAGCCCAGTAGAAGTTCACCGACGTTTCTGAGGAAAAAACTATCTCCATTTTCAGGGTGGAAAAATATGCCAAGCAAGCAACCAGCAAGAAGCAAACGCCATTTTGTAGATTGTGGCAGCACGTACCTCTGAAACTTTGATAAATTTCTACCGGCCTACAAGGCACCACATCCCAGAAGATAGTCATTTGCTTAGTAACGGCTCCGAGAACCTCAAATACTGCATTGGGCCTAGTATCTTGGAATATTCCAGTACCACTCCCCTCTCCACATCAAGTCGTCATTTTCAATTCAAGAACCACAGAGCTCCATGCTGTAGATTGTAGTTTAAGCGTCTTGAAAAAATACAGAAAATACAAGAAATGAATCAGATGATGGTATTTTTAATCTGACATCGTCTAGTTTGGTAGATAGATGCTAATGTTTCGGAGAAACCTGTTACATTTATCTTCATGGTACACATTCAGGTTAGTAGAAACCTGATGACAGGGGCAGCATGTTGCCCCGAAATATTTGTATCAAACTACAAGACATCACATACATAAGATAATAACGTTAATATTCACAATCTTGAGAACATTATACCTCAAATACAAATAAATATTTTAAATTCTCCGTGAAATTACGTAAACGTTTTCAATTATTTCAGATTATAAAGTGCTAGGTGTTCAGGAACACCTTTAAATTGAGCATTATTCTACTAATTTATGGCCCTGTATTATTAAATACCTTTAAAGAACATCTACTTATCGGTAGTTATAAATAGTCCATGGCAGTCTGTAATATCCATGGGAATAAAACGGGAACACCGGTTTTCAGGTTACTCCCAAAATCACTAAATGTCATGCCATGCTTTATCATTATTCCAAGAAATCGTGTCTTTAAAATGCTTTAAATACTGTTTATTCGTATGCAAAATTATGTTTCTTCGTTTTTGTTTAATAATACCTATTTTCCATTTTGCATCTTCCAGTATAACAGCTTATTACACATCATATAACCCTACATACGGGATCTGTTCGATTTAGAAATAATCAGAAACGCGTGGGCCTAGCGTAGTGTTATTATTAACGACTTTGTTAGTTATGAGAACAAACGTCTTATCAACTGCCAGTGAATACGTTGACGACTTGAAAGCTTTTACTTAAAACATGCGAACTTCTGGAGTGAAAGAGAAATTAGCGTAACTTAATGAGGGTCGTAACTTACGTGTGGTAACAAATCTTCGAAAACTTCCTAACTTTCATAAAGGTTACTTTCTGAAATTATAACATGGATGACGCGCTAAATTTATATTTATCTTCCAGTTGGATGGCTGTGACTAATTATCTCTCAGAACTAGATTTTTCAGAGACTGACTTAAAATAAAGACAGAATCGTGCATTAAGGAATTCATAGCTGGACAGCAGTCAGTGCTGCACGGTTCTCAAACATGAGTTTATGTGAGAGCGACATTATATTATAAGATACATGAATCTACCGATATTACATATAATTATACTGCTATATTCTTCACATTTTCCAGGCAAATACTCTTTCGGGTCTGTTTACATTTCAGAATTCAGTGTATTTCTATATGGTATATTCATATTTGCAGATTTCTTGTAAATGTGAGTATATGTTATAGGATCTCGCTGCTAGCGGTATCAGTCTCGTGTGTGGCGTTCACTCTGGGTCTAGTTGGCTATGTTTACCAGCACCGCAAGATCAAAGTGTTCAAAGTGGCCAGTCCTATCTTCTTGTGCATCACTCTTCTTGGCTGCGCCATCATGTATCTCGAGGTACGTGTCATCCAAAGTCTGTGGTTCCTAACTAGTGCGCCATGGATCAGTACATCAGTTGAGTTCCACAAGGAAGCTCTAGTTAAACAAAAATTAGATTTCCATTAAGATCCACCATTTTGTGATAATGGTATATTAATACAATTATTGTATTTCTGGACATTATCCATCATCTTGTCTTCATTTAAAATACAACGTTTCTGAGTCTCTCTGGCTTTAGGTGGAACCTACTCAGTTTGGCCAAGTAAATAGAGCTAGTCCCTATCTCCAGACACCTGGACCAACACAAGCTAGGGTATACAGACCAAGAATAGCATAAACCATCTGTGAGAGTTAAGAGAAATATTAAATACATTAAAATACTCCACACGTGTGGAACTCATAATGCTTTTAATGTTTGTCCTAACTCGCAGATGGTTTATGCTGTGCTTCATTTGTATACCTTGTCTTGTGTTTGTGCAGTGACAGGAGATATGGCCTAGCTCTATCAATTGGGCCCAACTGAGTACGTGCCATCTGAAGACGGAGACAGAATCCAGTCATAAAAACGTTGTGTTAAAAAAATAGGATGATGGATAATGTCCATAAAACCAATAATTGTATTATATTTTGAGTTTTTATTTTAATTACAGATAATTTCTAAACTTCTTTAATAAAACGTCATGCTTCCAGCAGGAAGATCTGGACGTAAATTGGAGAATAATATTTAGTTGTATCTTAGAGAAATATAATGGGGTGATATGGACTGAATTTATCTGACTCAGGATAGGAACCACTGAAGGGCTCAATTGAAGAAGGTAATTAAATTTCGGGTTCCATAAAATGTTGGGTTAATTCTTGACTAGCTTAACGACTGGCGGCTTCTCAAAAAGCACTCAGTTCCATTGAGGTAATTTTTGCATCGTTAGTAAGTTACTTAATTATTCAGATATTTCGTGTTCTGCAACTAAGAGAATCAAAATTTGTATTCTAGTTACTGATTTGAACATATGAACACGCATTGATATGACACATATAATTACTAGGTCTACCTAATGATCCGCCCTGCTATTGTTTGTCTGCCATCTCGGGCGTGCCAAGAATCATAGCTGTAATTTCATGAAGTAGGTTTAAGTATTTAAGGTGTCAGGACATTTCGCTGTTTTGATATACCTCGTACATATCTCATTTGAAATTAATTTAACTTCATGTGAGACGATTGACTAGTTAATTATTATGTTATTTAACAATTATTTTCCACCATGTAAGTTATATAGCTTAAAATTAGGTGGGAAAATGCTCATGAATGGTGAGTAGGTAACAACACCCGCAACCAAACAGGGAACACACAACACGAGACACGATATACACCGAGAATAAGAGGAACGACTCCCATAGTGGTGGAACTATGCGCGGTGTTAGAATTGGGACAGATAAGATAAATAATCTTAACAAGTTTTTAGTGTATAAATATTTATTATAATTGACGAACATTTTAAAATACTTTTTAAATTTTACAATGACATAATGGCAAACAATGAAATAGATTAACGTAAATAGAGCACCTGATGATGGCACCAGAATGGTAAGAATTTGCAAGTAGATGGTCGTGGTGTATTTTGGAGTACCGTCTTTGAATTCGCCTGGAAGTGATAAACAAAATGAAGCTAAACTTCAGTCACAATAAAAATCTCCTAGTTAATTTCGAAACGAATACCACTCTAAACGAAGCAAATATGCTAACCCCTCTGCTGCAAATTTCAGTATTTTGGTTAGGCAAAATTCTTGATTCTTTCTCATTGTATCATAAATTGTGTGACCCCAGATCAATAGCACAGACTATGAAATGAAACAGAAAGAATTACGCATGAACAACTCTTCTGCTTGATAGTTGTGACATTTCTAGATGATTAATAACTATTAATTTAATGAAACCTGGAGATGAATAGTTACGTTTATCATTGTGTTGTGTAAAGCGTGTAGTGTGTGTTGATGTTTCTGAAATTTTGCAAATAAATTGATCACGCTCTTTACCTTAACGCCTTTCCTTTTCGTAAATGATTATGTTCTCATTGCAGATGGCAGCCATCTTTCCAGTGCTGGATCTCTACTCCTGCATAGCAACAAAATGGAGCCGACATCTTGGTTTCTGCATAACCTACACAGCTCTTCTCATGAAGACGTGGCGGTGAGTGCCACAAATGCAGTTTATGGATATAAAAACTGCTTTTAATCATATTCTCAGATCTCGCACGTAACTAGGCTCTCAGTAATTTTAAACTTAAAAGGACTAGAACTACTTTCAAGAAAAAAATGGAAGGTAAGTTAAAAGTTGAAATATGTTTCTCACCTTTCAGGTCAAAATTTCTCTTCCATCGCTTATCTGAAAACATAAAGTTTAAAGTTCAGACTCATACGTCTACCTTATATGAAATTTATCTCCTGATGTACAGATTGTTTTTGTTGTTATGTATTTTGTGAAACTTCGTCTCTTACCTTCTCAAGAATAAACACAGATCAAGAGCGCCTGAGGTCAGGCTGCAGAAGAGGAAGTTTATACATGTGTGAGACGGAATAAGTGGATGCAGAGAATTAGATAAAGAACTTTATATATTTCTTCAACCTTGTAAGGGAAAATCGCTTAATATGTAGAGTTTTTTAGGTCTCGTTACTAAGAAAAAATGTTACATGTGGTTAATTAAACAACAAATAAGATGGAATGAAAAAAATAGAATTATCAATAAAAAAATAATCTCCCAATTTTAGCCCACCAGGTTTCCTAATATTTTAATGTTAATGTTATAGTGTTACATAATTGTGCTAAACTAGACGGTTAAACATTCTAACACTTACATTTTATAAACATTTAATTTTTTTAGTTGAAACTCTAATATAAATTCAGGTAATTCCTTCACAAAGGAAGGACAAAGTCCAGAATACTACAGTTATAGCAATAAAATATGAAAACACATTACTAACTTACTTTTTTACTTACTCATGAAGCTGAGCCCTTCTGGAGGAGCCGCCAATTCTGCAGCTACTCAAGAATTTCCCAGCATTTTATGGAACCCGAATGTTCATTACGGTGTTCACAAGAGCCCTCGACTGGTCCCTATCCTGAGCCAGATCAGTGCAATCCATACTGTCCCATTCTATCTCTCTAAGATCCATTCTAATATTGCCCACCCACTTACGCCTTGGTCTTCCCAGTGGTCTCTCTCCTTCTGGCTTTCCCACCAATATTCTATATGCATTCCTCGTCTCCCCAATTCGTGCCACATGACCTGCCCACCTCATCCTCCTTGGCTTGATCATTCTAATTATACTTGGAGAAGAGTACAAGTTATGAAACTCCTCATTATGCAGTTTTCTCCAACCTCCTGTCACTTCGTCTTGTAACTGTTCTTTTAC